AAAAATAGAAAAGTGGAATTATATTTCAATATAATATGTTTCTAAGGTTCTGTAAATTAAAGAAATTATAGATCTAAAGAAATACCTGATTATAATTTGAATATTGATTGTTGTTATAGAATATGTATTGAAATGGTTTATGAGTTTATAAAATTAATTAATAATAAAAAAATGAATTAAGACTCATAATTTTAATAGAGTTAAGATTTTAAATGTAAAGATCATCCTGAAAAACCTGTACTTTTTTGGTGTAAATCAAATGATTGCAATGAGAATCGAATTTTCTGTCTGAATTGTCAAAAATAGAATAAACATGTTTAACATTACGATGAAGATGTCCTTAGTATTCATGAATTACATTAATTTTTAATTCAAAAATCAAAACTTCCTAAAGGTCTCATTTCAGAATGTCAAATTCAATTTTAATCAACAATCAAATCATATGAGAAGCTTATGTCTGGTTTATCACACAAGTTCTGCGGATTAGAAGATAAAATTACTAAATTACAACCTTATTAAACATAATAAGCACTTGATTCTTTGATTAGCTTTGATGAATTTAAGAATCATTTGAATACTAACATTATAGGATTTTTAAAGAAATTAAAAAAAATTTTAGATGATCTTTTTATTAAATTAGAATTACATTTGATTTAATATTAGATCACTGATTAATAAGTTAAGATTAATAAAAATGAATATCAAAAAGGTTTTAATTCATCCTACTTTTATTTTAGGTGTCTCTTTAAATATTAGAAATTAATAAAATGAAGCAATTAAACTATTTGATAAGCTATTATTAACTGAACCTTATAATGTAGAAATTATGTATTAAAAAGGTTAGTAATTATTATTATTTTAAGCAAATTCATTAAATTAGTTGAATAAGTAAGAAGCTGCTTAATAGATATACTTAGATATAATTACAATTAATCCAAAACATGAACTCTCTTTATTGAAATTGGGTATTAGATTACTCTATTATTTAGGTGATATTTTAAAAAATTAACAGTCTTATTAGTAAGCACAATAATATTATGAAAAATGTATTTCAATAAATGCAAATAATTCAGCAGCTTAATTTGGAATAGGTATTATATAATTATAATCTTTAGGGGAATGTTTAAGGGTGACTTATTAATATCATCATGCATTATAATACTATCTAAAAATCATTGAAATAGATTCATTTAATAAAGACTATTTCTTTTATTATGGTTAATTTGTTTTAAGATTATTTAGGAGATTGTTTAAGATCATTAAACAGATATCAAGCAGCTATCAATGCTTATGATAAGGTTTTGATTAAAGATGCTCATTATTCAGAGGCAATAGCAGGAAAAGGTATCGATTAAAAATTAAATGATTAAAGGAATATGTTTATTATACTTAGGAGAATGTGATAAAGCCTAGAAATTTATAGAAAACTCACTATCTATCAAAAACAATTTGCCTTTAGGATTATATGGATATGGTAAAATATAAGTAATAATATAAGGAGTTCTCTTAGGTTCAAAGGGTCACTATGAAAAAGCTATTGAATATTTTGATAAGGTTTTGTCCATAAATCCATAACATTTGGATTCATTATGGGGAAAAGGTAATTTGAATATAATAATGTGTAAAGGTGGTTGCTTAAGAATGTTGGATCAATATGACTAAGCACAAGAATGGTATGACAAAGCTTTGGCCATAAATTCATAAGATGTGAATTCATTATGTGGAAAAGGTAATTTGAATTAACATATCATTTAAAGGCGAATGCTTAAGAATGTTGGATCAATATGACTAAGCACAAGAATGGTATGACAAAGCTTTGGCCATAAATCCATAAGATGAGAATTCATTATGTGGAAAAGGTAATTTGAATTAACATATCATTTAAAGGTGGTTGCTTAAGAATGATGAATCAATATGACTAAGCACAAGAATGGTATGACAAAGCTTTGGCCATAAATCCATAAGATGTGAATTCATTATGTGGAAAAGGTAATTTGAATTAACATATCATTTAAAGGTGGTTGCTTAAGAATGATGAATCAATATGACTAAGCACAAGAATGGTATGACAAAGCTTTGGCCATAAATCCATAACATGTGAATTCATTATAGGGAAAAGGTAATTTGAATTTAATAATGTTTAAAGGTGAATGCTTAAGAATGATGAATCAATATGACTAAGCACAAGAATGGTATGACAAAGCTTTGGCCATAAATCCATAACATGTGAATTCATTATAGGGAAAAGGTAATTTGAATTTAATAATGTTTAAAGGTGAATGCTTAAGAATGATGAATCAATATGACTAAGCACAAGAATGGTATGACAAAGCTTTGGCCATAAATCCATAACATGTGAATTCATTATAGGGAAAAGGTAATTTGAATTTAATAATGTTTAAAGGTGAATGCTTAAGAATGATGAATCAATATGACTAAGCACAAGAATGGTATGACAAAGCTTTGGCCATAAATCCATAACATGTGAATTCATTATAGGGAAAAGGTAATTTGAATTTAATAATGTTTAAAGGTGAATGCTTAAGAATGATGAATCAATATGACTAAGCACAAGAATGGTATGACAAAGCTTTGGCCATAAATCCATAACATGTGAATTCATTATAGGGAAAAGGTAATTTGAATTTAATAATGTTTAAAGGTGAATGCTTAAGAATGATGAATCAATATGACTAAGCACAAGAATGGTATGACAAAGCTTTGGCCATAAATCCATAACATGTGAATTCATTATAGGGAAAAGGTAATTTGAATTTAATAATGTTTAAAGGTGAATGCTTAAGAATGATGAATCAATATGACTAAGCACAAGAATGGTATGACAAAGCTTTGGCCATAAATCCATCACATGAGTATTCATTATATGGAAAGGGTATTTTTTAAACTATTTTTTAGCCTTTCTTTTATTAGAATAGAGCTAATTACAAATCGCATATTCTTTATTCAATTAAGCTTATAAAATTAATCCATTATAGCAATTTAAAGATAAATTCTAAAGTAATTTTCTACATAGATTTAGTGTAATACGAAAAGAAATTAAAGCATTAATGAAATAGAATACATATTCCAATTTAAATATATTTACAGTCATCTTCTAAATTAGTTTTAATTTCTTATATATTCGCCTCATCACCTATTGAATCGAACTTACTTATTTACATTTTTCTTTTTTTTCTACTTCTTTCAATTAAGATGATATCGTTATACGTTTATTTTTTAATTTTATAATTATGATACTCCAATTTAATTCTATTGGAATTATTATACATTTAACAAATTATATATTATCCTCAACTTAAATCTTTATTTTATATTACTTATTAATTTATAAAATATGATATAAAATTACAAATATTCTTACTTATTAAAATAACAACTTCAATTTTTAGTAATTTAAAATTAAGATTTAGAGGCAAAATATTTGAGAGGATCCCATAATCATTTTTCTGACTATTATTTTAAATAGTCCAAGATCATAAATTCATTAATATTTTTATTGAAGATCAAATCTGAAGGGATTAAGATTGGGAGAATCATATTTAGGAATTTGATATTTGAAAATTCATTTTGATATAGCCAATCTATTAAAAGAATAAAAATAGCTCAGATTATCATTATAGGCAGAAAGCCGATATATCTATTTCTATAATCCCTTATAATTTAAAAAGCAACAAAGGGAAGTATATATGCATTATCAAAGGTTTTATTAATAAAGCCTCCTCTTTTTAAATCTTGGAACATTTCTGGATTCTTATAATGGTTCAATCATGTTTATATCATTTTAAAAAGATCTTTGCCAAAAGATTAATTCAACTAATTTGAATGTATCCTCATTCTTTCCTATTTTTTTTTGAGTACATTTAAGAAAATAGTTTGATAATTCTATTCAGAAGTTTATTATTTATTCTATATTTTTGATCAATCAGAACGAAGACTTATTTAGAAGTTTCTTAATGACAAAATGTGGATCATAATCAACTGAAACCTGAACAGGGAGGATTGTTTCTTTATATCTGAATTATCTCACATACTATTTTTATATCAAGCCAATAGAAATTGAAGAAGCACTTAATTTTTCGAAAGAAATGAGAGCATGCTTAAAAAAAACACAAGATATTTATGGATTTATAATATTTTTAACCTAAAAGTCAAAGCCATACTTAATACAAAAATAAAGTGGGTATTATCTTTATTACCAGATTGAATGAGAAGAATAGTTCAACAAAACTTCTTAGACTAACCTTATTTAAAATTAAAATCTAGATGAGTGTACATTATGCGAACTTAATGAAAGCTTCTATCTTAATTACAATTCAATCTATATAATGAGTCCGAACTAGCGGAGTATTTATATGATCCTTATCCTCTTACTTTTAATTTTGAAGATATAAATAAAAAGGAGGATTTCTAATAAGAAGAACGACAAAAAAAGAAACGTTTTTTCCCCTTAGAATATTTGTTAGCATATGTCATGAGGTTTACAAATATTTAAGAAATTAAAAGATGCTTGCAAAGGTTTTCTGAAAGAAAAACTTAGATTTTGCCCAAGAATCTCGAAAGAGTCTGAAATCAACTTCATTTGCAAGATGTAATATTGTGAATCCAAAAAGTAATTTTTATTTATCTTTTTATTTTTCAAATGCTTCCTTTTAAAGTTCAATATTTCAAATGATTTATTATTTAATAACTTCCAATTATAAGAGTTCTTGATTGCGAAATAAAAATGCTATTTGGATCAGTTAATTTCAAGTTAATATTTATTTATTAAATACTTATTTTATTTTATTATTTTTTGAACAACAATAATGTAGGGTAAGGTTATAGGTTTCGTAGGAATAACTAAATTCTTATCCAAATCATTTTCTTTATATTGATTAGTGTCAATACTCTAGGTTCGTTTTTTGGTTAATGTAATTTATTGAAATGCTTTTCAATCATATTAAACCTTATGAAATCTTTTAACCATGTTGAAGAATGAATATAACTTTTGAAATTTCTGAAAACAAAATATAAGTTAACTATGTCAACGACTATGAATTTCTAATGCAAATTTACATGACACAAATACAGAAACAATAAAATAGTATTTTTTTTATAGATTCAACTATATCAAATTGTTAATACTATAGTAATAGATAGCTATATCAAATATATTTACTCCAAAAGCCACAATTAAATTAAATACTGTCGAACTGTCACCAAAAACTTATGCAAATTAGAAGCTAACTCAAAGATAATATGATTAACCTTATTATATTTTTAATCAATGATGTTGCAAAGTCAAAATAAGTCATTTCAAAGTAATGTATTTAGATATTGAGTTTATTAAATAATTTTGTACTTTAAAATAAATCTTTTATGCTCAGTTATTTTTACTCCCCGTGAGAATGAATATATACATTCCAAATGTTATAAGGTTGATTCATTCTTCTTATCCTTGTAAGATCTATTCAACCTATAGTAATATCATAAAACAATATTAACATAAATCAAGTTGGCTTCTTCTTCAATAGTGGACGGTAGATACATGATATTTCAATTGCATAGAGTTCATTCTGATTGATTAATTAGATTATATTTAATATAAAATAATAATAAAATTAACATATTTCTTCAGAAGTAAAGGTGAATTTGAAGAATCCTAATTGTTGGGAGGTTAGCTGATAATGCCAGAAGAGGCACCTATACAAACTTTGAATGGAGTATGATAATAAGTATTTTTTGTGCTTGTTAAATACGGACCTTACTACTACTTCTTGAAATTAGATGTTTACTTGAAGTTTTACTTAAACATATTATAGGTCCCTGATGAGAAGTTATGAGTCTATGATGTTGGACTTAATGCAGACATTTACTTAGGTTTAAACATAAGTAATATCAGTATATAATAGGAATAAATGAAGGGTTGAATTTTAGTAAGAATCTGATTGGTAATCTCTTACTGTTGATCCTGTATTTTCCTAAGAATGAAGAAGGAATTCCTGTTTGAAAAGTGATACTATGTGTCGATCAATTTATCTTTAAGATCTAGCATCAATCTTCCGTTACCTATACTTGAATCAACAAAGCCAAATAATAACGACTCCCATTACTAATTTGCTACTCAAATACATTGAATTAAAAAAGTCAATTTAGTATTTATACAAAAAGTATTTAAGAAAATTTTACAAGAATGGATGTTTATGAACAATAAAAAGCAAATTTTGAAGGCTTAGATATTGCATATGTTTAATTAACCATATTTAATTCAAAATTCAATCTTATAATGTAATTTTATGCATGTCATAGAAATGAATGATGAGAATATAAAAGTTCAATAAAACGAAAGATACAACTTTTTATCAAAGTTATGATATTAATCCAATAATTCAAAAATAATTTATTAACTAAACATGATAAATGTGTCAATTTAATCACAAAAATTGAAAATGATGAATTTAAAATTGAATGATCTACTCTAGAAGATAGCATTGGTATAGATTGGTTAATGAATGATGAAGGAGAGCATTCGATTAATTGGCATTTTTCAAATAAAGAAATATAATTCAGGAATTGTAATTATTTATTAGCGATATAAAATATAAAATAAAACAAAGTTAAATTTTAGGATAGATGATATTCAACAGTAACAGTATGGAGCAATAGTTGAATTGGAAATTAATTTGATTATTTGAAAAATACGATATTGAATAGCAACTGAAATTATTCGATGTATTTTAGAGAAAAACATTTTATTTTGCAATTAATTTTAATTGAAAAAAGTTTTATTAATAAAGTTTTCTTCCCAATCAATCAACAGAATTTAATTCAAATGTTAATAAGATACAAAGGATAAATATTTTATTATTTTTTTCGAACCTTATTTTAATAGCAGAAAAGGAAGTTTGAAATATAGAAAAGGAATTTCAACTAGAAAGTAACAAATTAGGATAAAAGAATTGCAATAAAGGTTCTTAATTGAAATTTAATCGTCAGCATAATTTAACTAATCCTTTTAATTTTAATCAACATCATATTTTCTATTAATATCCTCATCTTTATGATATAGAGATAAAACTAGCAATAAATCAAAATAAATATTATTTTATAATTTCCTTTCTATTGAAAAATAGGTAGAGCACCTGAATGTAGATTTATGATTAAATGAAAAATGAATTGACTCACTTAATTGTAGAAACAGGACTTAACTGACTGATAGATAACATTAAGGAGAAACTATTGATACAAGTACTTCTCAAGAGTTCTTTTAACTCTAGATGAATCTTTATCAAATACAATTTTTTAGTTCTGCTGTCTTTCTTGCCAAAATATATCCGTCCTATTTAGTTTTGCATACATACTTTGTAAACCAACTTATTACTTTTATAAAGTCTAAATTATTTTTCAAAATATAGCAACCATTGACTTTGGAATTTCTTTAATGTAGTTGTCCTTCATATTGAAGGAAGTTTATATTTCACAATTTTAATTTTCCATTGGAATTTCTTTAATACAAAATGTAACTCTTGATCCAAGTACTAAAAAGTTTAAAAGAAGATTTAGTATTATTAAACTTAGATCTAAATCTTAATCTAATTTATTTTAAGATAATTAATTTATTTCATTTTGATACTACATATTCATTATCCAAAAATTGCTACTTATATAATTTATCTAAAATGTTGTATATTTCTTCAAACATTGCACTTTATTCTGATTTATCTGTTTAATGATTACTCAAATTTCATTATCTTCTATTTATATATTTTATTTCCTATTAGAAATTCTTTTAATCATAAACCCTTAAACAATTCTCTAAATTGTTTTTCATTGTTATAATATTCCTCCAACTACTCAGCATGGTCTGCTCTTCATAATCATTTACAATCAAGCATTGCCTTAATTGTAATTTTAGCATTTGTACCTCTAAATTTAGTCATCTCATTCTGATTGTAAATATTGATATTTTTTGAATATTGTGAAAATCTGTATTTGAAAGATATTCTTTTTGATTCCATTTTCTGCCAAATAATAATGTACACTCCCAAAATTAGGGCATCAACTATTCTCATTTAATGTTCAAGTAAGATTTAACTTTTCAGATATCAAATTCTTAGCAGACATTGATTTATCTAAGATATTTGATAAATTAATATGAATTCTATTAACAGAAGATAAATTAAAAACTAGATCATTTTTTGTTGTTAAGATAATTAAATTAATTTATATTTCTTCATTAAAAATTGATAGATTATTTGTATTTTTATATCATATTTTATAAATTAATAAGTAATATAAAATAAAGATTGATTAATTGAAAGAAGTAGTAAAAAAATAAAAATGTAAATAAGTTAGTTCAATTCAATATTTTGATGAGGTGAATATTATAAGAAATTAAAACTAATTTAGAAGATGACTAAAAATATATTTAAATTGGAATATGTATTCTATTTCATTTATATTTTAATTTCTTTTCGTATTACACTAAATCTATGTAGAAAATTACTTTAGAATTTATCTTTAAATTGCTATAATGGATTAATTTTATAAGCTTAATTGAATAAAGAATATGCGATTTGTAATTAGCTCTATTCTAATAAAAGAAAGGCTAAAAAATAGTTTAAAAAATACCCTTTCCATATAATGAATACTCATGTGATGGATTTATGGCCAAAGCTTTGTCATACCATTCTTGTGCTTAGTCATATTGATTCATCATTCTTAAGCATTCACCTTTAAACATTATTAAATTCAAATTACCTTTTCCCTATAATGAATTCACATGTTATGGATTTATGGCCAAAGCTTTGTCATACCATTCTTGTGCTTAGTCATATTGATTCATCATTCTTAAGCAACCACCTTTAAATGATATGTTAATTCAAATTACCTTTTCCACATAATGAATTCACATCTTATGGATTTATGGCCAAAGCTTTGTCATACCATTCTTGTGCTTAGTCATATTGATTCATCATTCTTAAGCATTCACCTTTAAACATTATTAAATTCAAATTACCTTTTCCCTATAATGAATTCACATGTTATGGATTTATGGCCAAAGCTTTGTCATACCATTCTTGTGCTTAGTCATATTGATTCATCATTCTTAAGCATTCACCTTTAAACATTATTAAATTCAAATTACCTTTTCCCTATAATGAATTCACATGTTATGGATTTATGGCCAAAGCTTTGTCATACCATTCTTGTGCTTAGTCATATTGATTCATCATTCTTAAGCATTCACCTTTAAACATTATTAAATTCAAATTACCTTTTCCCTATAATGAATTCACATGTTATGGATTTATGGCCAAAGCTTTGTCATACCATTCTTGTGCTTAGTCATATTGATTCATCATTCTTAAGCATTCACCTTTAAACATTATTAAATTCAAATTACCTTTTCCCTATAATGAATTCACATGTTATGGATTTATGGCCAAAGCTTTGTCATACCATTCTTGTGCTTAGTCATATTGATTCATCATTCTTAAGCATTCACCTTTAAACATTATTAAATTCAAATTACCTTTTCCCTATAATGAATTCACATGTTATGGATTTATGGCCAAAGCTTTGTCATACCATTCTTGTGCTTAGTCATATTGATTCATCATTCTTAAGCATTCACCTTTAAACATTATTAAATTCAAATTACCTTTTCCCTATAATGAATTCACATGTTATGGATTTATGGCCAAAGCTTTATCATACCATTCTTGTGCTTAGTCATATTGATCCAACATTCTTAAGCATTCGCCTTTAAATGATATGTTAATTCAAATTACCTTTTCCCTCTAATGAATCTAAATGTTATGGATTTATGGCCAAAGCTTTGTCAAACCATTCTTGTGCTTAGTCACATTGATCCAACATTCTTAAGCATTCGCCTTTAAATGATATGTTAATTCAAATTACCTTTTCCCCATAATGAATTCACATGTTATGGATTTATGGCCAAAGCTTTGTCATACCATTCTTGTGCTTAGTCATATTGATCCAACATTCTTAAGCATTCGCCTTTAAATGATATGTTAATTCAAATTACCTTTTCCCAATAATGAATTCACATCTTATGGATTTATGGCCAAAGCTTTGTCATACCATTCTTGTGCTTAGTCATATTGATTCATCATTCTTAAGCATTCGCCTTTAAATGATATGTTAATTCAAATTACCTTTTCCCCATAATGAATTCACATGTTATGGATTTATGGCCAAAGCTTTGTCAAACCATTCTTGTGCTTAGTCATATTGATCCAACATTCTTAAGCATTCGCCTTTAAATGATATGTTAATTCAAATTACCTTTTCCCCATAATGAATTCACAT